CTGAGGTCGGGTAACCTACAGTATCAGTGGATAAGACTCGACTTACACACCTTGCAGTGCTATGTGGACCAGCCCGCTGCCGGATCCGAGGCTTCTCAGCACCAGTCAGCACGGACACAGAACATGAGACTCCATTTCCATCACGCTCCGTAGGTGGTGGCTGCGGTTTTTGAGCAGAGCCAGGCAACAGAGAACTGCGAGAAATTGGCCACTTCATTGCACCACAATTGTGCACCCAGCCTTGGCAGGTTCCCGTCTCCAAGGCTCGGGAACCTTCAGAGCCGAGAGAGGGAGCTGCAGTCATGGCCGTTGAAAGCGTTTCGCTTTTCGTCAGCATGCGTTGCCGCCACCTTGCGTGGCTGTCAAGGTCTGGAACTGCGACGACGACAACGATACCGCTGCCAGAGCCATGGCTCGGCACCAAGGATTTTGCATCCGCAACGGAGCATGTGAGACTTGCCGGGATCCAAGGTAGCCCCTTCCAGAAGAGACGCGTGCTCCTCAACCTCTGCCACCACCGTCTCCCAATGCCAACACAGCCATGTGGGTTTCAGAGATTGTGCAAGAAAGGTTCCCGTACTGAGGCCATCACTGTTCATTGCTTCTTATATTGGCCTCACTCTGCTGCGGTCCGGTTTCATCCGGTTTCACATTTTTATATGGGCTTTGCCCACGGTAAAGGCGGACTTGACCCCAGTTCGGGCTGGAAGCATTATGTCTCAGGCAGAGAAGTGGTGCCACCATGAATGTCTCCTCTGCAAAGTCTGTTCACACCGAACCGTTCATCCCGTCGACGGTGAAGCAGTGATGTGTGGCTACTTATGAAGACTCGTCTCACATGGTTCGATCTTGGACATATCATGACTTCTCGTACATCACTACCTGGTTCTTGTGCTTCATCATGATGCCGACACCTGTACAATCGGCCGAATCCTGTATCACAACAGAGCCCGGGTTGACGTTGACTTGGAGATTCCTGACTTGGAAGCACGTGCAGCTGCCCAGGCAGCAGGCTTGTCAGACTGCTACTGCCTCGGTCATTTGATTTGTCTGGTGACCAAGGAGCACAAAGGTTTTGCAGCTTGAGCTCAGGCACAGCAGCCTCTGCCACACCAGGGGCAGGCAGGGGTCGGGTGGGAGGCGTCATCGTGGCACTGCACCTGATTTTCGACTTGCTTTTCCTGTCCAGCTCTATGGCCAGCACATGTACGGTAGCCAGGGGCAGGGCCCACAGAAGTTCATGCAGTCGATACTGATTGCAGACAACTGCTTTGCTGCGAAAAGACAGGCAACTTGGTGATCTGGTGCAACAGCTCATTCAGCGGGGAGCCGAGAACACGGGAAGAAGGTTCAGCCTTTGTGCGACCAGAAGTTGCAGATCATGAGCTGCTTGGGGGATCTTGCACCCACGCAGGCACATCCACGAGCTGAACCTGCAGCAAGGGCCTGAGCGAGCGAGCGAGCGAGCCGGCCTGCTACGCCTGTCTGCGACAACAGTCACAGGGATCGAGCTGGTTGCGGCAATGATCCTCGTGACAGTCCTCGTTTTCGGAGGATGGGACTGATAACGCGATGTCAAACGGCCCAAGTGTCGTTGGGATTGGGACCGTTTTCGTCACGATTCCCCTGACTCTCGCAACTTTTCCACATGCAGTGCAACTTCCCATCTCAAACATGGCACAACCAGCTGGCACATGATCGTGATTTGCATGATTGTGGGGCAGGTTGCAAAAACACGGTTCGCACCGGAACAGAACCCACCACCCAAACCACAGGGGCTGGAAGAGGCGTCGGGTGTTAATGCGATGCTCCGCGAGTGCACCAGAGCGACGGCTATGCCGCAGCAACAAAGGCACCATGGGCAACGGAAAAAGGGGAAAACCGCTCCCTCCGGTGTAGGAGCAATCGAGATAAGGATGACAATAGAACTTAATAGAACTACTGACAAATAGCTGTAAGCATACCTCTTTAGTTTTGCAAGCTGCCGAAGGATGCCAAGATTGCAGCTTCTGCTTGGTGGCATGCCGGGGCAAAGACAGCCCTTAGACTGAAGTTTGGAGAGGATGCCGGCGCTGCATCCGGGGGCCCACACAAGACCACAGACACCACACAACTTGGTCGGGGGGCGGGGGGTGGGGCTGGGATACCGTAGGATGGGGGCGAGGGGGGGGCCAGTTCCCAGTTCCAGTCTGCCAAAGTCGTCCGTCTTGCCTCGATATGAACTTCCGTTGTCTTCTGTTGGGAGTCGGCTGAAGCCTTGACAGGCTTTCCATTCGAGGGGCTGTGCCAGCTGTCGTATTAGGCTGAAGCATCGTGACGAGCAGCTGATGCAATGCAACATGCAGCTGAGTCAGCGGGGAGCCGAGAACACGGGAACAAGGTTCAGCCTTTGTGCGACCAGAAGTTGCAGATCGTGAGCTTCTTGGGGGAACTTGCGCCCACGCAGCCTCAGATCAGGCAATACTGGTTGATTTACGAGCTGCAGATGCAGCAAGGGCAGCAAGGGCCTGAGCGAGCGAGCGAGCGAGAGAGGGCTTACAGTACGGGGTGCCGACGACGTGCAGTACATGAACCAGCCACTTGCTGTACGTATGTATGGATGTATGTATGTATGTATGCATGCTTGCATGCATGTATGTATAGGCTTGTAGACTCACTACTCCTACTCCTACTCCTACTTCACCGTGCCGACTGCTGGCTGTGCCCCCCCTGTTGCTTTAATTCTAGGCGCCCTCAATCGCCGCTGTTCCTCACCACCCTCTCCCCCAGTTCCCCCTTCCCCCTGCCCCCTGCCCCGCCAAGTGCTTTCTCTTAGCGGGTTTGCGCCAGCTGTCGAGCTCAGGGTCTCAGATGTCGTGCCAGATCAGGCAGAACCTGTGCATCCAGCATCTGGAAGCGCGTCTGGAAGCAATGATCCGACGCGTTCATTGCAGTGGCCCCAGCCTCATATGTTAGGTGCCAAGCGAGTCAGAGCTCCTTCTTCAAAATTTCGCTCTGCTGCGCCAGCGGCTTTCGCTTGCAAGACGGTAACTCTGAAAGTCCTGCCCGTCATGGCTGGTCTCTATACGACTCATAAGCCTGACTGAAAGTCTGTTGAGAACTTGTCTAGGATCCCAAGCCTTAACCTTAAGCCCGAAACTGAACCTTACAGCCCCACCTCCTTGAAAATGCAGGCACCGGCGTTAATTTTTTTGACGATGACGGAAAACTAAAGGCCTGTCCATTGCCGGTGCTCGTGAGAGAGCGAGCGAGGGACACTGGCGGCTATATGCGACGACTATAAGGTATCATACCAATATAGGGACCTGCTATCAAAATCTATTCTCCCACACCCCGAAGTACACTCAAAAATTCCCCCCCATTTCCTTGTGGGACGGGGCATCCCATTCGGGCGTATGGCGGAAGCCTACGAGCCCCCGATGTTTCCTTGAGGTTCTAGGTGGGTGACGATGACCGAAATCTTGAGTTTTGGAGCGCCGTTGATGCTTGTAGGACTTTGGACCAATTCTCCAATAGGTCAATTCTTACATTGGGCTGTGGTGATGTTGGTGGTGACGATGATTGTAAATATGATGGTGGTGAAAGGAGGGGAGGGGAGGGAGGGAGGGAGGGAGGGAGGGAGGGAGGGAGAGAGGGAGGAGGGAAGAACTGGACCTTTGTCCTAGTTCCTACGATCTAGTTTGTAATACAGGACACTGGAACATGGTTTGTGCCAGGTGTCCAATCAACATTTTAAAGCAAGGCCCCACCATGGGGACATCCGGTCCCTCTTCAGACGCACCATGACTTGTGTTTGAACACACCGACAGCGCATCCGTCTTGCACCCATGAGTCAATGGAGCGCTGTGAAGCAGATCATTCGGCCCCAAGTCTTGTTGAAACTTTGAGTTGACCCGACGGACGCAGTTGAGGTTCTTGCCCTTGAAATGCACACTGGTCGTAGTAGTGGGACGGTGCAGACAAGGAACAAGCGTTCGCGCCAGGTCGTGCCGCCTGCTGGATGTGGGCCCGGCGCACGCGAGATCAAGTTGATGGGAAAAGATGGCCGAAGCAGCCTTACGTCGTTTATTGGACTGGCTTCGTGCTGCAAGGCTTTTCGGAAGATCAAAGGATTGCAGGATTGGGGAATATTGGGGATTTAAGTGGTGTAGTTTCTGAGTGGTCGAGGCATGCAACCACAGGTTCAGCAACGGCTGCGTGAGGAAGGGTGGTATGGGAATAGAAGTCGTCGCAGCTCGCGTCGCGAATGCAGCGTTGGTTAACCAAAGTTCGAGGTGTCCTAGCTGAGTCACGTGCGACAGGACCGGTAAGGCGCGTTACGCTCATTACATACTTGGATCGGAGCTGCAAACCCAAGATTTTGTTACAACAACATTGAACTCGACTCGGCCAGAAACTATGAGCTTGAGGAAAACATCGTGCGAGTCTAGGCTTGCTCACGACAGCAGTGTAACTTCAAGACCCGTTCCCCCAAGGGGTCCTCAGCTGCGACCAGGTACGACCAGTATTCCAGTATTCATCCCAATGCATGGTCGATGCAACATTGATAGCAATGCTTCCTTGCCAGCATCTTATGTGATTGATTATCTTCCTCAGCGACATATCATATCGAAGTCTAAAGAGTTACACTAGCCGTCATTATCGCCATCACTATCACCATCACCCCATTCGATCGCTCATGTCACAGCTTGAGTGTTGATGTTCACGTTGGGGACCGTATGCTGGTTCAAGTGTGCGCAGGGGTTGAATTTGTAGATTGTGCCACATCCTCACAACTACTTGACAACAGAGCAATGGAAGTCGATTTATGCAAAGATTCCTCAGACGATGAGACTGAGTATGGGTCTGCATCTGACGATGACCTTGGGAGTATTCCCATGTGCATCCGGCACCCAGGTTGGACCAATGTAATATTGGTGGTTTCTTACGGCATGTTTGGCATCGTGTATTTGACGGCCAAGCAGGGTTGGCACGCTGAAACAGCCTTGTATGTGGTGGTGCAGATTATTACCACCATCGGATTTGGTGACATCACGGTGACAAAAGAGGAAGAGGCACGTAACAGTTGTGTGTAGCATTTGACAGGGTTCATGCAATTTTTTCAATTTCCATGTCGAGTAGAGTAGGGGCCCCTAAAGTTATGCGTAGATCACTAACAGCCGACGAAAGTTGCGCGTCCTCAGGTCTTCATGATCGTTTTCGTGCTCCTGGGCACAGTGCTAGTTGCCAAGATCGTAAACGATGTGTCCGAAATTTTTTTGGAACGAGCGAGTGAGCAGGTGGATGACACGCTACATCGAATGGAAGACATGCTTTTCACCCATGGTCACAGACACCACATTTGTCCAGCAAAGCTTCATAATTTGATTTCGGCCGTATTGATCCTTGGCGCCTTTCTTCTTGTTTGGACGCTGTTCTTCGGCCTTTACGAGCACTGTACTTGCTCCTATGGCTATACAGCCGTGCAGGGCTGTGTGGATGAGAGGTGCACGGAGACTGGGGGCACAACCAAAACACTCTTGGATGCTTTGTATATGGCTGTGATAACATACGCCGGACACCAATCTGGGTCGATTGGTAGGCCTGCAGCTCATGATTCGTAAAGTTTCCCTGTGTGACATCGGTTGCGGGATGAAGTTATGTTATCGGAGTCATTTGGATTAGCTAAGTTAAGGGCAAGCCATGTCGCCTTGTTTTGCAGGCTCGGTATTGATGGTCTTGGGCGTCGTAGCTTTCTTCAATGTGATCTCTGCTGTTGCAGAAGTCATTGCCGGCTATCAGCGCTATCACAAGAACAGGCTACGTTTGTCGCGTCTGGGGTTCAAGCACATCGATCGTGATGGGACTGGACTGATCAACCAAACGGAGTTTCAGGCCAGGGAGCACGCGCGCGCACGCACACACACACACACACATACATACACAAGAAACTGCTGCTTTCATGTAGAACATCTCGTTTTGTGCCTACAATTTCCCGCGCAGTCCGACATGCATAGTACCGTGACAATTTCTGTGCTCTTGCCGCTTGGTTTAGGTGTACATGCTTCTCCGGCAAGGGCGGGTGACACCCGCCCAGCTGCGACATCTTGATCGGCTCTTTGATTGTATGGATCGCGACAAGACGGGGAGGTTGTCCTATCAGGAAATAAGGGACGGATTAATGGATGTCGACTTGGAGTAGGCCAAAGTTTGAGGCGACTGTGCGGAGTGGTATGGCTGCTGTCCGGAAAACAGCATATCATGGGGTGAGTCATTCCACGGTACAACCGGCAGAAACTTACGGCCTCGCATGCCGTTGCAAGTCACGAGTTTTCCCGCCTGCTTCGCTTCAGTGGATGCCTGGATGGTTTCGCGTTTCTCTGGTTGCTGCAGTGGGGAGAGCGCACGGGTTTTAGGTGTTTGAACATTCCCTTGTCGTACCGTCACAACTCTACGCTACTGCAGTACAATCCTCAGAACCCTGTTCTTAGTTCTTCAGACCCTTAGATACGCCCTGAATGTTAGAACCCAGCGGCCTACACCCCAAACCCTGAACGCTGCGGCCTTAATTCTGAACCCTGTGCCCTAAACCGTTGAACCGATTGATTGGGACTGACCGTTTGTCTGCAAAGTAGTGCCTTCGTCTATTTTTTCAGTGTAAAAGGGTACTCTTCGGGTTCGGGTACCATAAAGGTACTGCAAGAGTACTAACTACTTTAATACTATACTACAAGGTTCCACGAACATACTATAAAGATTTTGTGCAGGTTGAGGGTTCAGAGTGTGCTGGATCTGTTAAACAGCTGCGAAGCTGAGTTAGGTCAGAACTGTGGGGATTACAATCATTATTATCCGTTGTCTTGGCGTTCTTCCTAGCAGCTTCGAGGCCCAGGACGGATGCGCTGCAAGGAAACTGTTGGCGCATGTTTGGCTTTTTGCATCATGTCCGTTCGCCGAGGCCCATCAAGTGAACCAGATGTGCATCTGTGACTAGCGTCGGCCATTGAACCAGCGTTCCTACCCGTTGCATCCCGTTGCAAGCGAGCGGCAGGGTGTGCCATCGCGACAGATAATGATGGAAATTGCGTGCAGAAGGTCAGAGTTAAATCTTAACCTGGGTGTCTCTGGAGTCCAGTGGCCATGCCCCGATACCATCCATCGTTGGTTTTGGGTCCTGATGGATCACCCAGTGCCTGGGGGGAAGCCTTGCAGCTGCATTGGAACATCCGGGACACCTTGCTTTATGCCGTGGGATCCTTGGCACGACAGGCAAGAGTCGAGGTAGCGTGCGAGAGGGATCTGCTCGGCAATTCGGCTTCCGTCTGGAAAGCTGAGGAATTGGATCACACAATCTGCGTTTTGTGTACGAGGCCCGGCAACCAGTATCTCCCAGCTTATGATTATGTCTATTGTAGCCCAACAGCAGCAGCAACAACAGCAGCAACAGTACAGCAACAACACAGCAAGAGCAAGGGCAAGGGCAAGGGTGATTAAGGGCAAGGGCAAGAGCAAGAGCAGGAGCAGAACAATAACGAAACAACAGCAGCAACAGCAGCGGCAGCGACAACAACAGTAGCAGCAACTACAGGAGCAACACCTGCGCTACTGTTACTGCTACTACGACGAACCACAACTACTGCTACTGCTACTGCTGCTGCTGCTGCGACCACTACTGCTACTACTA